ATAACAATTCAAGTTTTCCACTATCAATCATTTATCCAAAAGAAGTTCGTTCAATTTAGTGGTCATAAGTAGACTTAAGGAAGAAAAAAACCAATCATTTTCTCTGAATGTTTCTAATTTGGTACACAACCCTAGAACTAAGTTTTGTGTTAGACAGTACTGTTTAACAATGAGTCACTTGAATTTTAAAGAAATTCAAACCTGTGATACTATGTTTGACTGACAGCATGATGTAGTTGGTATCTCACCAAGGACACTAATTAGCGTAAAATTTAGATCGATGACTTTCTGTTAAATGGATTCAACATCAGAACTTGTCTTTTAGATTAGCAAACACATTACAATTCTCCATTCTCGAAATTACATTTGTTTTATCTCCTTTTCTATTGTACAATAAACCTATGTGTGTTTTCAGAGATTAAGATGCTCAGTTGCTTTGCCTTTTCACCTTTTAAAGAATTGCATATACCGATAAGATTGCCAAACACAGTTCATCAGCAGCCATCCGGATAGTAAATTGCCAACCGAAAGGAATAAAAATGATTTTCAGTAGTGTGCACGTTATAAATGAGCTTAATTGAGCAGGAGCTCAGAAAATTGTGATTCAGTATGAGGAGTTTAGTGGAGTTTGTCTCTCTGAAATCCTATGCTACTCTAAACAGAAGGTCACCAACAGTATGCTGATATTATCGTAATATCTCAACCAGGTAATTGCTCTCATTTGGGGATACCAGTTTGTCTTCATATGTGCACTGATGATTTAATACGTAATCTAAAATCCCAGTTTCAAAAAGAGTCAATCGAGGAATGTGTTACACATCTGTTAATTTTCTAATTAAATTGTTAACTACGCAATATTTTCCGAGAAATTTGATTTCAACTAAACATATGTAAATGGATTGTAAGACAATGTCAGTAATTACCAATCATTCATGAAGGAAATAGTTATATCTTTGGTTGGTTGGCCTATAAACCTTTCAAACCAATCAATTCATTCTGATTAATTAATGAGGAATTCAAAAAATTTCAGATGACAGTTTATCACTAGTTTAATGTTAACCATACAATTTCCAAAAATCCTAGTTTTTGAGTACCATTATATCTCCTTTAAAATCTCTTAATTTATTATACATCCCATAAGACAATGAAATACAAATCATTTCAAATTACAAGAATAATGGGAATAAAAAACAACTTCATATCATCTTAGTTTTAGTTATGAACAAAAGATTTATTGATGATTCTAATGAAAAATGAACTAGACTAAGAACTATTATGTAAAAAACATATATTTACAATACCCTTGAGGTTAATATAAAATAAAACAGTTAACATGCAATCAACCAAGGCGTCTTTGACATAGGAAAGACGCCTGAAGTAGGCAAATTTTGCTGATGAAAACATCAACTCAATAAAATGAATAATACAGTAGAATGTAATGTAACCGGTTTATATGATTAAATTATCTCCACTACCAAGTTTCACTTTTTATCAGTATCACAGTAGAATAGAGTTATACAATATGTATTAACTTAATTATGATATAACGAATGTTTTACTGATAATAAAGTTGAAAACCATTGAATTTTAGGCTTCCAAAATCTGTAATCATATATCTAACTAGAATTTGATCAAAGAACTGTCATTAAATGTATCTCATCAGTTGATCATATTTGTTTGTATATTTTACAGTGAATGTTTTATTTGAATCGTATGTGGTGTTTCATTTTAATGAAAGTTAATAACGTTGTGTATTATATGTGTAGAAACTTCAGTTGATAATTAAAATGATTCGATTAGGGATTACCGAGTCTTGAAATGGAATATATTTTTGGAGTTATTGTGGTCGCTGAGCTGATTTTATTGATTATGAAGCCTCCGTTGTTCTTCTGAACAACATCAGAATGTATTTCACGTAGAAGTGAGCTATTAGAGCCTCTCCACAAGTGAATAATGGCCGACGGTATTGTTCAGAAGAGAAATGAGAGCTTTAAAACCAATACACCCAGTTCAGTGACCACAACAATTCCAACATGCTCATCCTGAGCCACAAATATTCTCCATCATCTTAATGATGTAAATGTCGTAATGACTTTGCTGTGAAAAATCTCTTATTCCATAAAATGTTCGAAACTGACCTATCTTTTCATTCTCTGAATAGATGGAAAGCTAAATGCGATAAATAATATATGTCACTGTACTTAGTCCTTTAAATAGGACTGATATATAAAATATTACTCTTTGTTAGACCTCTTTATATGTTCATTTAAACTTGTTTTGAATCCTCAAATATTCTTTAAACAGTTCAGTTTCATTTATAATGCAATGTTTTAGGAAAAAATACAACCACTTAAATTTTGCATGAATAAATAAACATTTTAGACAGAATCAAACAGGTAACTGTAAATTACATAACAAGCTGGATTTAGCTACATATCTCATAAAAATCAGGAAACGGTAGACAACTATTCATAAATCAGAAGCTTTAGGCTTTGTGGAAAACGCCCAACTTTCAAATCAATGAGGTGTCTCCCAATGGTTTACAAGTTTACTTTCAGTCAATTTGTGATATTAAGTGACCATCATTTCTGTATATCAGTGAAATTTGTCTGACATCCGACGTAGATGACTATATAATTTAAGAACTGTTACTAGAAAAAGAATCTAGCCGGTAGCCAGAATATCTCTGTTATCAGTGAATAAAGTTCCTGAATTTGTTTGTTTTGTGATTTACATCACTAACCAGCTGATGATAGTAATCTAAAAGAATTATTTTCATTCTCAACATTCAACAAAAGGTGTGAAAGTCATGAGGTGAATCAACTGATGCCGTGTTGTGGAATCCCATAGTAAGAAAAACGTCTAGTCAATAATTTATAGTTTTCAACGGTTATTTACCTCAAGCAGTTCAAAATAAAAATCTTCACAAATCTCCTAATAGTATTTTGCGATTTTGTTAAGTTATAATAAAATGATTATCAACAAAATAATATGTTATTCGCTTCATTCAATATTATATTTTTGTGGTACAACATAGAATTTTCAGCACAAAGTATTTAACTGAAAGATCTTGAAATTGTTGGTGATGTTGTTGTTGTTCCATATTAAGAGTTACACCATGCTGATAAGTTTCAACATCCAATATAACTGGATTCAACCCTTCATGGCGATTACCTCCGACCAGTCAGTATCTGTATGTGATGATCAGGCCACACTACAACCTCACTAATGAAATTCGACCAGAACTAAAGACTTGGAAAATAAATCATTAGTTAACTCATATTATTCAGTCAGCACATATCTGTCTCTGAACTCCACTCAACTATTACACCACCCATTCACTTGTGTTAATTGTTCCATACTATTTCTTATTTCTATGTAAAATTCCATTACATATTTGGCTGTAAACAGCTGACGAGAAACCACAAAATATAATGAAATCATATTATTCTGCACCAATATCTGTTCTAGCTTTATTGAAAAATATATAATCCTACTGAAATATATGAAGCTCATTTTGAGTCTAACTTCTAAATCAAATGAAAGAACATAGTGACACAGTTTGTTCAATAATATTTGGTTAGTTTGATCCTCACTATAAAACAGAGCATCGACCAAGTCTTGTGCCGAGACAGTAAGTATTTAACCTTTTAATTTCCCGACGTTTTATTTAATATATTCCTAAATGAGCCTATTAGGTTCTAAACTTAATTGGCCAGTCAATGTTAAACTGAGAAGGGACAAAAATGAGGTTACATTAATGAGTTTTTTGAACTATTTAACTTTTTTCATTGAGATCATGAATTAATTGATGTTAGATCACCATTGAAAGCACTAGGTGGCCATTTCGTCCTATTGTGGGACTCCTCAGCAGTGCGTATTGACAATTCTGCTGCGCGATTCGGACACAGAGCATTGGATCTCGCCCGCGAACGCTTATCCTCTAGACCACTGAGCCGGCATCTAACGGTGTTAATGTCTAACCTCAACCAATCCACGAAATTGTGCGACCATCTTCCATTGTAGTGAGGTAGATACGTGTCTCTATCCGACTCTGGTTAGCTCCATGAAGCGCGAGACTGCAGGCTCTTGGTTTGAATCCCGTGGGCGAGATTGTAGATGAGAAGCCCCACGGTAGGATGAGACGGACGTCCAGTGCTTGATTGACGAAATGAATAAAATCTCTTAGATTCTAATTCATTGATTCAAATGTTATGCGATCACTACAGTTCACAAAGTTTCATCAATGATCCTCTAAAAAAGATTGTGAGTGAGCATTACTGAGAGACATTAAACTAGGACAAAATAGGTTACTAGTACTTATTGGTTTTTGGAAGTTTCTTCAAGATAAACTGTTTTTTTGCTGTTCAGTCTATAAACATGATTCATACCAAAGAACAATATTTTTACTGAATTGTTTTTTTATGATTCCACCCTTCAACCTACAATTATTTTCATATAAATCTGATTTTTTTAGTGTTTTGGAAGTATGGATTACTATCAAACCAACTTCTAATAAACCAGATTCATAAAGTCTAAATGCAAGCAATAAAAATAACAGTGTTTAATGTTAAATACTATTGTTTCCAGTATATTGTATCAATCAATATTCATTGTTAATTTCTTTTTCTTAATCACTTCACGCTTTTAATACTTAATAAAATGTCTAATTCCCAAACGACAATGTACTATTGTGGCGAGTGCTACTTATATTGACATAAGTAGTATATAACATGAGTCAGGAATGTAATGTCTGGCAGCAGAAGATTGAGAAGATCAAGAAAGGAAGAAGAGAAATAGAAAGTAATTAGTATAGAAATGCAAGAACAATGGAGTCCGAGACAATTATTGAACATTTTGCAAATTAGGCAGAAATAGTATGGTTTTTCTATTTACCAAGTAACTCTGTAATGTTGTGCTGAACATAATTCAGTTGTCCTCACCTATGTTCTCCTTCACTACACTATCCCAATTAATAACTATAAAGAAAACACAACAATAAATGAACAAATGAAGTTTAATCATCTATTGTTATTATTAATTACATCACATTTACCTTTCTTTTTTTACAATGTTAATGAAATCAATGAAATAAAAGAAAAGTTGGATTCATAAACACCAAATCAAAAGAAAAATTAAAAAAGAAAAAGAGAGAGGAATTACAGTATTTTCTTGTTTCTGGGAAAGAAATAATAAACAAAATCAAAATTGCACAAAATTTTCGAATTCATCTGACTTTCATTCAAATTGAAATAAATAAATTTTAAAAAAATGGGAGAAAATATCGAAATAGGCAAGTACATTCGAAGAATGTATTTTATGAATATAATTCTTTTGTGTATATTATTGTGTATATGTATATGTATTTGTAATTTATCATGTATTTTGTTTTGTAATATTCTGTACTTACCTGAGTTCATTGACTAAATATTAGCCAGTGTTCGAAAAACAAGTTGATCCCATGGAAAAGAAAGTCAGATAATGAAAACAAAAAAAAATTATTGTTTATCTGTATGTCTGTATGTATATGTATGTTTCTATGTATGTTCTATGTATGTTTGTGTGTATGTATGTATGTTTGTATGTATGCTTGTATGTATGTGTGTATGTATGTATGAATTACAACTTAACCAAGTAAGTATATGAGTGATTTTGTATATGAATGAGCATATGAAATAATAAATATATTATTCAAATGGATGCAAAACATACATACTTAAATATCGCCAATATACAATACAAATAGCATACAGCCATGATAATAATAAATGAATATTATGTACAGAACAAAGTATAGGAAACAGAAAATACAAAACATTTACATCAATAATCAATAAAAAAAAGAAAAAACGAAGTAAAAATGATAATTTTCTTGATATTTAGAGAGAAAAAAAGGAGAAAAATGACTGTTTTTTTCTCTTACATCATATAAATAAATGTAGAAAAACAAGAAAAAAATGACCGATTTAAGAATAAACAAATATGTTAGTTTCAATGAGATCTTGATGCTTGAACACAACCACATAATTTTTGAAACCACATTTTTGTCGTCTTTTATTTTTACATTGTGTAGAACTGTCATAACTATGATAATCACGTCTTCGTCTTATCGGTGCATATCCATGTTTATCATGTTCTACTGTTATTTTACTTGGAACCAATTCATTAATTGATTGATTTTGATCAAATTTATGATTATCCATTTGACAGAAACCTAACCATGGACTACTTCCTACTGAATTTCTCCCTGAATATGCATTTAAAAAATGGAGATAAAAAAATAAAATCTGTTAAGTTATAAATTTTAACGAAATAATTGGTAGTTTTATGTGTAAATAAAAAAACTTTTCGATCGAGATCATGAATTGATCAATGTTAAACCATCATTAAAAAGCCTAGAAACGCTAGACGGTCGTTTCGTCCTGGTGCGCGACTTTTCAACAATCTCTATAACCCTATACCGATAAATAAATTTTAAAACAATTCATGTTATCTTAAAATTTTATAAAGATTCAAATATTCCTGAGTAGCTGAGATGGATATAATTGAAATTATCTTCAAAATTTCACAAAATATACATTTACAGTTTGTTAATGTTTGGAAATATCCCTTGCTAGTCGTATACAATTCAAACAAACTTCTTTGTATTTTATGGGTGCAACTCTTCCAAATCACATAATCCATTATGATTGTTTCATTGTAGTAAACACTTAAATATTATTTACTCCTCTGAAAAATGAAGTGAGAAATCATAAGATCAATGTCATTGGTATCTTACAATTACGAATGTTTTGGATTTCATTACATCTCAGAGCAGAAATGAGTTTATGTAGATAGCATTATCCTATTTCCTATTGTTTTTTGATGACTAGTACAATATCTGTCAACTGCTTATTAGTATATTTAAATATTGTGGTTTTCTAATGCTTAAATTGTCATATTAATATTCCAAATACAACTTCTGAATTAATAACAATAATCGACACATGAATCGTTAGAACTTATCCAATAACGTGCAGTTCCTTTATTTATATGCATAAAAATACTTAAATAACACTTAAAAGGTATTTTAAAAAGTTAAAATTAAATGCCTTTTGACACTGTGAATATAATTAATTATATCACTAATAAGTGTATTTCAAAGTCATCGTATACTGTAATTTATAGATAATGTTCACCACTTTTCAGTTTAATACTATTGTAATCTTACATAAATACGTTACACTAACGTAATTCTTCTTCAGTTATGCTCTAATATACCGAATGTTTTCATTTTTATTTGTATGTCAATCAATAATATTATGAGCACTTGGAAAGAAGTTAGTAGAAAACAGATGATAAGAATTAGGAAAATTTGCAGTAATGGATACAATTTCAAAGCTCACTTTCAAAGATACACTGACTTTGATCATGATTCCATCAAACTTGGTAGATAACATCATGTGAATAATAAAGCTTCACTTTAATAACATTTCTTACGATTACATTAATTTTACGAACTATTTGAAAAACTTTCATTTTAAAAGATACTGTTGTGTGTTGATTATACACTTTTGGTCATGACAAACATCCTTCCAATCTTATTTAAGCATAAGATCTAACTTATGCGAATATTCGTCAAGATTAAAACGAATAGTTTGACAGAAATTGGGCGCCAAGTATGGAGAAGTCATGATATGTGAAAATTATATTTGAAATAATTTCAGCGATTGAAATCGAAATAATTCCAACGTTTCGTCCAGCTAACGATATAGCACTTGTTGGTTATATGTATATTGTGGATTAATAGTTGTTTTTGCTGCATTTTATTAAAATAATGATCACGATGACTAATAGGCTAAAGTTCTGCACATACATGTAAACTGGAAACAAAATAATTGAAATAATTAATTAAAATGGACGTATCCAGTATCTAGGTTTATCTCTCTGTACCAAATGAATTGCCAATTAAAACAGTTAAGTGTGGATAAAATTCCAGTCCTATGTTTCCCTCAATTATGTTTAATGGTTTACATGTACGTGATAAAGAATATACATTAGAACATCAAGGACGGTTAGTGTCCACATCACTGAGTACATTCTACAGAAGTTTAGACTAAAAGAACAGATTGGTCTCGACCGTGCTACTATCCATTATTTGCTTGACAGTTGATAAAATGTTGACGTATTAAATTTTTTTAAAGATAATCACTGAACAAAAAACGTCGAGTTGATTATGCCATTATAAAGCAAGTACCAATAAAACATTTAAATAAGGATTTGGCACTTAAGAAGGAACTATTCACACTGAGCATAGACATATGAAACCTTTCTGAGTATGTATTATAAAACTATATTACATTACAAATTATTAGTTTAAGATTATATAACTATTTCACGTGATCGATTGATTTGTGTGTATTTATGTGTATGCCGTATATATGGTACCACTTAATAAAAACAAAACACAAATCTGTCTAAACTTTCTTGTAAGATATGTACGAAATACGGAGGTGTACTCAGCAAAGAAAAAAATCAAACTTTTTCTTAAAAATGTACTTACAGTTTAACTAAAACAAATTGTACTCAATAAAAAGTACATTATTTAATCAATAAGTTCTAAATATAGCCTTATAAGGATAACGAAGAAAACAATTATTAAAGTGTGAATGGAAACAAAATGACTATGCCTACACTGTAATATCTCAATCAAAAATATAATTAAGTCTTAACACTTATTATGAAAAAAAGAAGTCAATAATTAACTTGGCTGTGAATCCACTCCAACATTGCTTTGAGGTGTGAAGACACTAAGCTTAGTTGCAGTACAATTAATTGATTTAAAACAGTACGAAAGAGCCTAACATAATGTCATTCTTTGTACAAAAAAAAATAAAGAATAAACAAATAGTTTACGCTAGCCCTACTTCTACATAAAGTCTATTTAAAGCTTAAGAAAAATATATCTCACCTACAAATCACTGATCATCCACAACAATCAACAGCTTAAACCTTGCAACCCTTCTACTAAAAATCTAGTGACGATCCTTCAGAGATCTTTACTATAAAGAGGAAATTTTCTTTTTATGTACTTGAACAATCCTTGAAGTTTAAAGCTTCATCTCTGTTAATCATCGTTTTTTTAAACGAAAGAGGTTCATGTTAAACCATCACTAAAAACCTGAAAGCATTAAACGACAGTTTCACTCTGGTATGGGACTCCTTAGCAGTGAGCATCCACGATCCTGTGTGCGGGATTCGAACCCAGGACTTTCGATCTCACTAGCGAATGCTTAACCTGTAGACCACTGAACTGGCCGGCATTCAATGTTTTTAAAAAAATATTAAAAAAATAAAAACTATTATCCTTTAATCAAACGAAAAGTTGGTCAAGAAAATCAATAATATTGGTATTACTACGTCATACTTAAAGTTAATAGGGTCAACGTAACATTAATTGCTTCTTTCACTATGACCTAATAAAATTTACGGCTAAGGTTAACAACAAATAGTCATATCTATGCATTAGTCATTTTTCATTACGTTTCATAGTTAATAAAACATTTTAAAAATATTTACTAAGCTAAGATAATATTTCACTTTCATTCACTGAAGAAATCGTTAGTGAGATCCATTAAACGACATAAAAGATTGCCGTTGCACCTTGGTAACCATTGTCAATTGACATAAAACTTAGAATATAATTCTGACAACCATTTTCAATTAATTAATAGTTAATTACATGCATACGATATTTCGTATACATGATCTTGATATGAAACAAAATAGATCATCTACATTTATTAGAAACACTATTAAAGTAGAATTACATTTTGTGAAGGTTTCAAATAAACACACTTTGAAAAGATTCATGGTGCCTTGATTTACAATAATGTAAGGAATCCATTTCAAGTAGATACGTTTTGTCAATAGATGATATAAATGAGTTGTTACTGTGAATTCAGTGTATTAAGTTAACGACGTATACTTTTCCTATGAAGAACAATACTGAAACATGTTAATTATAAATCAAACAGATGTGTAATAGGTATGTGTCAGAGTGTCTTCTTTGATACATTCAATACAAAGACTTATGCATATTCAAGAGCTGAGTAGTTTTTTTTAATTATTTTATTAAAAAACCATTTTAATCAAACATAATATAAGATAACTGCTTGACACAGTTAACTGAAACATTTTCATTTCACTGAATACTGAAAATAGTATCAATCTCAGCGATAGCTATCGCAGACAAAGTGAAAAATGAACTGATCCCTTTGACAACAGTACTTACGATGACATTGTTATAGCATTTTAATCAAAGTTAACACAAATCAAGGTTTTGATGAAGACTAATTATGAGCTCATCGTTCTATGGTTAATTCTCAGTAGTCATAAACAATATATATATGAATTCCAATCGATGAATGTAAATATTCAAAGTTCAATATTTGAATCTACATCATGTGAATAAAACGTACTTCATTATTATTGTTTCTGCTTGAAAAGGAAAATAGTGATAGAAGAATTTAGGTTTTTTTCAATAGGCAGTTCTCTTTTTGATCTTTTGAAGTGAAAACATCTTATCATCTTTACATATAACCTACATAAAGTATTTATTATTCTCAAAATAATAGAATATAATCTAAGTAAAAGCATTAGTTATCTAAATGTGTAAAGTATTTTCTTTTTATTCAACTGTGAAACAGTGTTACACTTTAAAAGTGGAAATGTCACGCAGTCAAGCGTTTGTCAATTGCGGTATAATTCTGTTTTATTTAAACAGTAAAGATATTTTTGTATATTAGTTTGGACAATATGAATCATTTGTGTAGTTGTATATATATACATTCTCATAGGACAAAAACAAACTACATACCTTATACTATACAAAATTTGAAAGTATTTCTACAAATGTTAATTATAAATCATTATGAGATATGGCATTTTGTATGTATAGATATGTGTAGTCGAAAATAACGTTCATTGTGCTAAATTATTCTAATTAGTAATTGTCATTTATCTCCGTAGATTCTTGTATTAATACGTGTATTCACACTCCATGGGCCAAGCTTAATTATGAAAAGGTTGAATGAGGTTGCTATAGTAATGAGCAATAAATTTCTTGTCAATGGCTGTCTACAATTTATTGATTAATTCTGGATAAGGAAAAATGTTTTAATATTATCGTTCAGAATTAGGCAATAGAATATTTCTAATACTCTTTCTAACACTTATTCATAATACTGATATTGATTTCTGCGCAAT